ATGCACGTTTTTTTTTTATTTTACAAAGGGGATTTTATTGCACTTCAAAAGATCAATTACAAAGAGGGAGAACAAACCAATAATCTGGTTCCCAACAAGAGGAAGCCCAAAGGCATCCGGTAACAAACAAAGTTGTGTAAGACAAAATGCAGCAATAGAGAACAAAACACAGTCTCCAAAGCAACAATTCAGAAAGAGCAAAACCCTTGACCGAAAACAGATCATCAAGAAACTCTCTTGTAAACAACCAATCAAAGTGCAGCAAAACCAAAATCAGCTTGTCCGATCATATCGAAATCCATGGTAGTTGAACATCATCACTCCATGTGCCGCCTCCTGGAAAAACTCAAAGGCATCCATCACAGTGAATCTAGAAACTAGACTGCATGGCGGTGGAAGAGGATATAACCAGATTGCTCCAAGCTGAAGAGGCAGAGGAGGCCGAGGCAGAGAGATCAGGTTCGAAGAAGAGCAACAGCTCCCAAGGTAGCTACAAACCTCCACGAAAACACCGAATCCCAACTGCAACCACCGGAGAAGACCCAACCCACCATCATCCAACAGCTCACCAAGCCACTCAGACACCTAGGGAGGTCGGAGAGGGGAAGAAGGGAATGACTTCACTTTGAAGATGATGCCACCAACGGGGGACAACCCACCATCCAGATCTGGAAGAGGCTCCCAAGTTGCAGACTCCAGCTCCCTCGACGAGCAAGCCCAAGAACAAGGCCCAGAAAGGCCATCCCAATGAATAAGATCCTTAACAAATAACGATCCAATGGCCCAGAAAGGCCATCCCCAAAACATTCCTGGGCCTAGATAGACATTCACCTCACTCACTCAGCCCAAACCACCCGCTGACCAGACATGCTGACACATCCAATCCACCAATAGCGCCAAACGGTGACTGAGCAGCCACGAAACGAGGTGCTATCTGCTACAACTACTTCTGATAATAGACCCAAAAAGGACTTCTTCTACGACTCCTACCCGTTGAACAAGCAACCTCAGTTTCTGGAAAACCAGCGAAACAAGGACGACGAACGATCAAATTCCGGCGAAAAATAATCGGAAATGGGCTCGGCGGCTACCAAAGAAGATAAGAATCAGCCAAGTCGGTTTTGCTTCCTTGCTACTCCTCAGTTCAATTGCATGTTCACTGCAATTTTGAATTTCTCCGATTAATGGCGGCCTTGGCCATTTTTATTCTCAGGTTCTCCGGGGAAGGTTGCTGTCGTCGGCGCCGGTGTAAGGTAAGCTGTTTCTGGCTGGTTGGCTGGCTAGGATTCTTCGTTGCTTCTAAACGAACTAGTGAATAGTGGCGTTTTGTAAGTGGGGTTGAGCTTCCGGTTGGGATTGTGATGTTTATGGGAGTGGCTTGTTTTGGTGTTGCAGTGGGCTGGCTGCTGCGTACAAGTTGAGATCGCGTGGCTACGATGTTACTGTGTTTGAAGCTGAAGGGAGTGCTGGAGGGAAGCTGAGAAGCGTTTCTCGTGATGGTTTGGTTTGGGATGAGGGGGCCAATACCATGGTACGAAGTGTTGATTGAATTTTGATTCGATTTTCCTTGAATTCGTGAAATATTGACTGAGAGTTGATTTCATCCTTACTTGTGATCAGCCAAATTTTGCCCTTTTGGGGATGAATGTGTTAGTAGGGGACATCTAATTTTGGCATTTTGGTGATATCTGCAGACTGAGAGCGAGGTGGAGGTCACCGCATTGCTTGATGAACTCGGGCTTCGAGGGAAGCAACAGTTTGTAAGTTCTTTATTTTGTGTCATGATGACGATAAAGGGTACTAGAAGATCTGACTTAGCTATTGAAGTAATAAGTTTTGAAAAACTGGAAGATGAGTCCTATGTTTTTGATCAATTTCTGGATGATGAAATTGTCATTCAGCTGTTCCCATGCTGAAGTTTTTATTACTTATTTGACGGATTCCTCTGGTTACCATTGCAGCCAATTTCACAGAACAAACGGTATATTGTAAGAAATGGGGTTCCAGTGATGGTAACTATCATTGCTTTTGTTTTTATTGCTTTTGCCATGGCTGATATGCTAAGTTGTCTTCTTGGTTCAACATCTATCTAAGACTGCTTCTGTAACTCTACTCAACTTCTTACGCCAGATTCCTACAAATCCACTTGCGTTGATCACGAGTAACATCCTGTCCACAAAATCAAAGGTCTGGTTTTAGTTATTGGAATTATTTTGCAGTTTTCCTTGTTAACGTCATTTGGATTCACGGTATGACTGGAACAGATGTTTTTTTAGAGCGATGCAGTTGTCAGGCTGACGCCATTTCTCAGTTTGTAGGAATAACACAGAACTGTCAAGACAAGGATTTGAATTTATATTTTTATGTCAATACAGACCATGGGTTGTTGTATACCACTTTTTCTGTTTAGGCTTGCTGAGCATTATAAGATAAATTTTCACCTTCCAGGAACTCTGCATTTCGATGGTTTATTCTGGATGCTAAATAACATGGGAGAGTTTTAAAAGAATTGTTCTAAAGAATCCTTCAATTTTTCCTATCTGCGTTTGTTGTTGGTGCTCTTCGTGAAGATCCAGCCTGATGTTTAAGCTCGGAAAAATGAGCGGATCCTGTGTTCTTCTGATAGCAGATTCAGATAATCCTGGAGCCTTTTTTGTGGAAGAAAAATGAACCTTCAAAAGTCTGTGATGCTTATGCAGCAGAAAGGTGATCAATCTGTTCAGGGATTTGTTTGACTCTGATATATTTGTGATTTTCTATTTATGAACTTTCCTTTTGGCACCTTAATGTCTTTTGAGTTATGTCTTTTCGTCACCTTGCAGTGTGGGAGAGTTCTTTGGGCGGCATTTTGGAGAAGAGGTATGTACTGCATGTGTTGCGTTGCTGAAGTTGAGTTCATTTGATTCAGTCACATTTCAAGTTATTAGATTTAGATGCCTCAAGATCATGAATCTCAACATATTATTTTTTCCTGTTCTGAAGGTCGTTAACTATCTGATTGACCCTATGGTTGCTGGGACAAGTGGAGGAGATCCTGAATCTCTTTCTGTGAGTAACATCTCATTTTTTGGAATAATTTCTTTATGGTTGCTTCATATTTCGGAAACACAGACCACAATGTACACACATACACACACTTGAAGACACACAGATACGAGAATAATTTGTCAAACAAGACTCAGCATTACGTTTCGTTGCATGAGAGAAGATAAAGTTAGAAAAGGCACTCTTATGGCATTTATCTGTCTTCAATTTGACAGCGAGTTGAATATTAATTGCTGTTAGATTATGCAACTTGTAGCTTCTTCATTGAGTTATGATCTCTAGGGCTGTGTGGCCTAATTTGTCTCTCTTATCTCATTTACCCTCCATATACCTTAACCATACATAACCTTCCATGAAACAGGCGCAGCATTCTTTTCCCGAGCTGTGGAATCTTGAAAATCGGTACTTAATTTTATGAAAATTTCCTTTGAATTCTTTTTCTTCTTTACAAATTTTCAGTGTGAAGGTGTTAGCCTAATACTATGCAATGAGATGCCTTCAATGGTCTACTTAGTTTCTAGGAGTTTTTACACTGAGGTAGCTACCAAAAGACTCTGTTGAGTTAACTATAATGCCGGTATTCTTGGATGATACTTTTATATATTTATGCTACAAAATGTAAAACTTGAGTCTTCTTTTTTTTTTTTTTTCCGTTAAAGCATTTATATTGCTATTTCTTGTCATTTTGGTGTTGATCGGTTTAGCTTAGTTGTTCTCCAGCAGAACTTGGGTGTTGTGCAATCAATAAGACAATCATGTATGCATATTCAGGTTTGGATCTATAATAGCTGGAACAATCCAGGCAAAGTGGTCTGCTAAAAAGACTAAGGGTGGAGAAACCATGGGTTCTGGGAGGAAATTACAACGTGGTTCATTTTCCTTTATTGGTGGAATGCAGGTAACTGGAGTTTTCATTGCTGTTTTTTTTGTTTTTTGTTTTTTTGCTCCGTGTACTATTTTTACTTTTTAGTGAGCTTCAACATTACCCTCTATTATTACAGTGGATAAGATAGATGAGCATTTAAGGGTTTTTTCCTGTATCAAAGAAGCATGAACAGTGTATCTTGTGGTTTGTTAGCAAAGATCACATCCATAAGCCATCTGCACTTGCATTTTCACCCTTCCAATGTTCTCACACATATACACTTCTTGTGTACTATTTGGCACTTCATTTCATGATTCTGGTAATAGACTGAATTTTTGCTTTCCTCTTTCGTGTCTTCTTTATTGTAGACACTTACTGATAGACTATGCAAGGAGATTGAGAAGGATGAGCTTAAACTAGGATCAAAAGTTTTGTCACTTGCTTACAATTGTGACGCCAAATCAACCCCAGCCAACTGGTCAATTTCATATGCATCTAATAGCGACAAGCCGTCACACTGTTCATCCTACAATGCTGTCGTCATGACGGTTAGTAATCTTCACTGTTCATTTATCGATCCATACTATTTGCCTCTTTCCTTTGGCCCGTACTTTTAACTTCGTTTTTTGATAAATGACATAAAAGCACAGTTGGAAAACAGCCTACGAGGCATAAGCTGCTCAGATACAAGAACACCTTGACAAAAAGATGAAAAAAGAAAAGAAAAAACTTGCTGATCAAAATATACAGAACCAAAAATACTAAATCCATGCTCTGACATGGTGTTTTAGTTTGCTTGAGCTCTGATTTATCAGCCTCACATATATGTGCTTGTGGATGGACCCAAGGATCTTTCCAGACTACATCTTTCCTTTTTGGCTTCCAGATGATGAGCATTCTGTGCTGATAATAGCTTTGTCATCTAGGCACCACTGGACAATCTGACGGAAATAAAGATTACAAAAAGTAGAGAAATCTTTCCACTGGACTTTCTTCCCAAGGTACTTACTACTGCTGTGAGGTCCATATCCATTAGTTTCTGTAGTCTCAATCTTATAAATCTTGATACATCATGAAACAGGTCCAGTACATGCCACTCTCAGTGTTAATTACTACTTTTAAGAAAGAGAATGTTAGGAGGCCGCTTGAAGGATTTGGGGTTCTTGTCCCCTCAAAGGAGCAACAAAATGGTCTAAAGACCCTTGGTAATGCGTTGTGCTCAATGGAATATGAAATGTCCTCGGTTAATTTGAAAACTTGTCATTTCACACATACTATATCCCGCAGGTACTCTCTTTTCCTCTATGATGTTTCCAGACCGTGCACCAGATGACCAATATCTCTACACAACCTTTGTTGGTGGAAGTAGAAACAAGGAACTGGCAAAAGCTTCAACGTATGCTATAACTTTTGCCATACAATTCTCTTCTTTGTGTTTGCAGCAAGTTCTCTAAGTTAGTTCTAAATTATTATGGTTTCTGTACCCTAATATTCCCCGTACATCATGTTCACAGGAATGATCTGAAACAGATAGTTACATCTGATCTAAGGCAGCTGTTAGGAGTGGAAGGAGAGCCCACCTTTGTCAAGTACAAATATTCCTTTATTAATTTGTATCAAGCTTTTGCAGTACACTTTCTAATATCAACGGAATAGCATGTTTTCATACTACGTGTGGTATTCTGCTGGCAGTCATTTTTACTGGAGCAAAGCATTTCCCCTTTACGGGCGGGACTATCAATCCGTACTAGAAGCAATAGACAAAATGGAGAAAAATCTCCCGGGATTCTTCTATGCAGGTATCTCCATATTTATGTCACTTTCTTATCAAGGAATGCCCATAATGCTGTTGAAGTTATGAGCTTCAAAGGGGAGTGGTGATATCTTTGCATAAATGTTCTCCCTATCTGGTATCTTCTTATCTGATTTTGAATGTTCGACTGTTTTAGGTAACCATAAAGGTGGACTGTCTGTTGGCAAATCAATAGCCTCTGGTTCCAAGGCAGCTGATCTTGTAATCTCCTATCTGGATTCTTCTTCTGACAACATGAAGCAAAATTAAGGCTTACCTTCAAAGCTGTAATTAAATATACATTTGTAACTTTTGAGTGTAGAAAACAGGTCAGAGGACCTCAGTTGTAACTTTTGGCTCGCAGGAACCTTTTACACCGTGTAATGCTACTGTTGGTTGACCTTAAATGCAAAATCAACTTCTGAACTTGTACCTAATACGTTTCATTGTTTAAATGCTTCAGTCCCCTGTTTTATGTTGCTGACTCTTGCGATTTCAGGTAATGTTTTTCGCATCTTCTGGATCAAGTACTACTAACTCTCTCTTTTCACGCAGATTTCTAAAGAGGATAATGATTGAGTCGAAGTTCTTAATCAACTACCAGAGGGCATGAAGAAAGCGAGAAAGGTTGGAGGGAATTGGAATGATCTGCAATCTTTTGATATGGGTATGATCTTCCAGCTGAGGTATTAACAAGTAATAACTACTTAGCAATGAATGGCTCAAGATGAGTTTGGTTGTTAATTGAAGCAATGGATAGAGTAAAGCAAGCCACGAATATGGTGCTTGCTCTTTTTGGCTGCTTGTGTCAGTGGCTATTTCTTACACTTGTATGGTTCCAGTCTGGTCAGGTGGGCCCCTCCTTTTATTGTCCTTAATCTGATGCCCTTTTGTCTTTGAGCTGCCATTATTCTCTAGGATATTACTAACTTGGACTCTTTGTGCTGTAGGATTGCTGAAATTATGGACGCAGGGCAGGACCAACCATATTAATAAGTGCCCTCAAAGTAAGCGTCTTTCATTACTTTTCATCATTGGCATCGTCCTTCTTGTACCCACTTAGGGAATCGAATCTCTTTGGTCGTTAGCCTTTTAATCACTCATGAAATCATTCACCTCAAAATCCATGCTAATTAACGTGTCAATTATCATCCTAATCAAGCACCAACAGTTCATCAAAGTTGACTGTTTAGTTCCTTAACAGCCAATTTGCTGTCAAATTGCCTAGGCCCCTCTCTGTCCAAGTCTGCAAGATGTTTTGTCCAATTGTGTTAAATGTCAAAATGGTCACTGAACTATGAGTTCTGTAACGAAATGGTTATCAAACTAAAATTATTAATCAAATGTTGACTACACTAAGTACTTTAACTCCCTTAGTAATGAGGTGTAGAAGTTTATCTATCTCTTGTCTATTATTCAAGAACCAGAGTTGGAATTCTTGGGCTACATTACCATAGTTAGTTAGCTCCCTTGGCAGTGGGGAAGCAGGGTGCTACCAGATAGGCTAAGGTGGAGGGCTCTGGTCCCCTATTATTGAAGGATCCTAGGAGCTTGGTTTGGGCATCTTTTCATTTGAAAGGAGGTGGCCGAATCCACTATCCATGTGGAGTTAGGACTTGGGAATATGGGAGGGCTTGGAAGGATTGACCGAGTTAGTCAGATCCTCATCCCATAACCCCAAGTTGCAATATAAATTATAATCTGCAGAATCCAGCTAATATGTGGCTGACTCCCAACAAACATGCTTCTTTGTCTGCACTTGAACAAAAGGCTAGCTATTGGTACCCGTATTATCACCTTCTCTCTTTCTGTTTCATTAGTATGATAAGCATATATTAGCATAATTAATCCGTAGCTTAATCTTGGGTCTGTGTTGTGGAAAGAGTCACTTCTCTCTATAGAGGTGAGCATGGGATTTGTCCTTCTTTTACAACGGATTTGTCCTTCTTAACGTGGTTTTGCAATCTTAAAAGCAGGATTGCCATGTGGGCAAAGCTATTGGGCCCACCACCACCACCCTCCTGTTAGAGCCTTGTTTTCTGGTTCTAACTGTTCTCTCTCTAGTCTCTACACTGAGAAACACAAATTCCCATGCCTGCTTTGTTCCTTTCTTTACACCCTTTTTGTCTGAATGATTCTCTGAACTCATCGAAGTCACGAAAAGGATTACTGAGCTTGGGTAAGTTCATCTGCTAAGCTTGATGTCAAGGGAGCAAATGCTAACATAAACACTATTTGTTGGTCAAATTAGGACCAAACGAAGGGCTCCACTTTCTTCTTCCCCTTCCCTGTTGCCTATCTCTCTCGACCTTCTATTCCATTTTCCTTATCTTCTTTTCTTCCTATCCCTGTGAAAGATAGGGACCGCCAGTTAAAAACCAAACCTTACTCGCCTTCTTTAATTCGTAACATAAATGTGCCCTTACCTTCACTTCTCCCTCTCTCACTGTACGGTCCCTTTTCAGTTTTCACCAACTACCCACCTCCCAGTAGTCTTACTGTTCCTCTAGCTCTCATTTATTATTCCTTGATTAATTTTTTTCTACATATATACTTCCCAGTTTAGTTCACTAACAAGTTTGTCGCACGACATTTATAGCTTTGCGGTACCGAGTACAACAGCATCATTTATCATTTGCCTCCCGACCCAACATTTCATCAAAAAAATCTCCTCTGTTTCCAAAGCTCTAATCTTTGTTTATCCTTCTGTCCCATGTAACACTTCTGCTTCCTGGGTTCTTTGTTTTTACTCTTTAAAGAAGGAAAAACAGTCCTTAGAGAAGAAGTGGTTAGCTTTTGAAGCTGTTTTCATCAGGAGTGTCTTTATTCCTTCCTTGGAAGAAGTGTCCTTGTGTCTGATTTCTTGTTGATTTGCTTCCCCTGTTTTCGTTTACTCGAGGAAGTCTGAGTTTCAGCTTCTATTTCTTCATGGGTTTCCTCCAATTTGTCCCAAAGTTTATTCCTTTTTGACCCTTTTCCATAAGCTAAGTGTTTGAGATTTGTCTTCAATGGATCGGCTGAACTGGCTTCTCCTGTTGTTCCTCTTGTGGGCTTCCTTCTTTATTCCACTCTCCCATCAGCTGCAAACCTACCAGGCTCAGCTCCTTATGCAACTGAGGAAGCATTTGGAATACCCTCAGCAGTTGGACATTTGGGAAAACTACAACGGCGATCTCTGCAACTTATCATCTACTCCATCCATCAGCATTGCGTGCAAGGACAATCTAATTACAGAGTTGAAGATCATGGGAGGCATGAAACTCACCAAGGTCAGTGATTCTTTCACCGGCTCCCCAATTCAGAACCAGACTCTGTCTGCCAGTTTCTCAATTGATTCCTTTGTCACTACTCTCACAAGGCTGACCACCTTGAAAGCTATCTGCTTTGTTTCATTGGGGATTTGGGGCCCACTTCCCGGTAAGATTCATAGGCTGCGCTCACTTGAACTCCTGGACTTGAGCTCCAATTTCATCTTTGGTTCAGTTCCAGCTCAAATTTCAAGAATGGTTAACCTTACTTCCTTGGTTCTTGGTGGAAACTACTTCAATGGAACTCTACCTGATTGGTTTGATTCCTTGTCAAGGCTCACTGTTCTGAGCTTGAAGAGCAACCGTTTTGAGGGCGAGTTTCCTTCTTCAGTTAGAAGAATCAGAACCTTAACAGATATCGCACTGTCCCATAATCAGCTCAGTGGAAAGCTCCCTGATTTGACTGCCTTGACCAACCTCCATGTATTGGATTTGAGAGACAACAATTTTCAATCTAACCTCCCTCCATTGCCGAAAGGTCTAGTCACTGTTCTCTTGAGCAACAACTCATTTTCAGGAGAAGTTCCATCACAATTTGGACAGTTGTCACATCTTCAACATTTGGACTTGTCTTCTAACAATCTCAGCGGAATACCTCCTGCTTCTTTGTTCTCATTGCCAAGCATCAGTTATCTCAACTTAGCGTCCAATGTGTTTAGTGGGTCACTTCCAATCAATGTCGCCTGTGGTTCCAAGCTCGGGTTTGTCGATATCTCCATGAACAAGTTGACTGGTGGACTCCCGTCTTGCTTGGAGAATAAGAGAGTAGTGAAATCTGGTGGGAATTGCTTAGCAATTCATGCTGATTCACAGCATCAGGAATCATTCTGCAAGGAGGCCAAGATGGTGACAACGAAGAACTCGAGATTTAGAGCAGTGGGGATACTGGTAGCTGTCGTTACAGGAGCACTGGTTTTAATGGGAATCTTTACATGTGGGGTTGTCTGTATATGCAGAAGAAATTGTCGTCCTAGAAAGAAATTTGAGCATAACATAGTTTCCAAGGTCGTGCTGGATAATAGTAGTAGTACTAACCCACCAGCTGCTGGTTTTTCCTCTGATGTCCTAGCTAATGCAAGTAAGTTCTTTTACAGGGGTCTTTAATTTTGGCTGTTACTTCAAAAAGATCACTGTTTTGAACTGATTTTCTTGTGTTGTATTTCTTGGACAGGATTTATTTCTCAAACAGCTAAGCTCGGGACACAAGGGTCTCCAGCATGCCGTGTGTTTTCATTGGAAGAGCTGAAGGAAGCTACAAACTTCTTTCATTCCTCATCTTTTATGGGTGAAGGCTCTAGTGGGAAGGTAATTTTTGTTAAAACATATGCACTCCACATCTCCCCCCACAAAATCATTCCATAATGCTGTGAACTCAATCCCATTTCAATTACATAAATGGTTACTAAAGGGTCACTAACTTCTGATTTTTAACAAATTTGTCATTAAGTTTGGAATACTAGCATAACGGTTGTTTATTCCAAAGTTCAATGACAAGCCTGTTAAAAAACCATAGTTTGGTGACTGTCTTATAAGCGACACCAAGTTTAGTGACTTTTAATGCAATTTACCCTCTCTGAAAGTGGAAGTGATTCAATCCATCACAATTACAGTTGCCTTAACTGGACTTCCTGGTGTTGGAATTGCAACAATAAATGTATCTTGTGGGTGGCTGCTTCATTGATTACTAAAATTGTGTTTGTTGTCAGGTTTATAAAGGTAGATTGCACAATGGCAACCTCATCGCCATACGATCCCTGACATTGTTCAAAAGACAATCTATCCAAAACCTTAGGGTTAGGCTGGAGTTACTATCAAAGCTTCACCATCCACATCTGGTTACTCTCTTGGGTCACTGCATTGACAGCAGTGGTCAGGACGATAGCAACAAAGTCTTCCTCGTCTACGAGTATGTGCCTAATGGAAATTATCGCTCCCATTTAGCAGGTCAGTATGGGATTCTCAGAAAGATAGTAGAACTTCCATGTATTCCCTTCAATGATAACAATGTGATGTGCATCTATATAATGCAGAAAGTTTTACTGAGAAAGCACTAAGGTGGCCAGATCGACTAGCCATTCTAATTGGTGTTGCCAGAGCTGTCCAGTATCTGCACACTGGTGTACTTCCAGGCACATTCAACAACCGATTAAAGACGAACAACATACTGCTCGATGAACACCAGATTGCAAAGCTCAGCGACTATGGCATGCCGATTATCACTGAAGAGTTTGAGAAACTTGAGGTGAAATTATTATCCGTGTCGGCTAAACTAGTAAACTGTTGGAACTTTTGTTCCCATATGAACTAATGTAGTTCTCTTCTGTCTCTGTGCTGCAGGCTAAGGGAGAAGGAATGAAATCAAGGTACATACATTTTTTCTGTCTGTCCCCCACCCCCGCCCCAGTTTTCATGTCCCTGTTAAGAGTTGGAGATACATTTACCTTTGAAACCCAAAGCCAATGCTCTCCGAAAACCTGACTTTCAGCCAAATGAGAACAAACCTGACACTTGCTGAACACGTCTTGTTTCTGCAGTTACAGAATGAATTTAGAGGATGATGTGTACAACTTCGGGTTCATACTACTCGAATCACTTGTTGGGCCAATTGTGACGGGGAAAGGAGAAACCTTCCTTCTGAATGAAATGGTACGTTCCCTAACCTTGTCTGCTTTCTGGTCCAGATATACTGAAAAGTCAAAAGAGAATGTGAGATGAGAAGTGTGCTAAATTAAATATTGCAGGCATCCTTTGGAAGCCAAGATGGTAGAAGAAGGATCGTGGATCCAATCGTGCTAACCACATGCTCACAGGAGTCACTATCAATTGTTGTTTCGATCACGAGCAAATGCATCTCTCCAGAGCCATCGGCCAGGCCTTCGTTCGAGGATGTTCTCTGGAACCTGCAATATGCAGCTCAAGTTCAAGCCACTGCTGATGCTGACCAGAAATCAGATTCAACCTCATAGCCCCATATCGGAACCAGAGGAGCATAAGTATATTTATCTACAACATTGACGAAAAAGGAAACGAGCCATGAACATAAAATGACTGGCAGAACAGGCGGTTAGATGCAGATTAGTATGATCAGATTGCAGAGTGTATAGAGTTGTAAAGTTCCATACAATAGTTGAACAAATCATGGTTGTAAGACGAAAGAGTTCATCGAGTAATAAAGAGTTGAGCTATGGTTGGCCACTTGACCTCCTTCTTTGATTGATTGATTCAGTCTTACCAAATGTTCTGTTAGTGGCTTTGGTGAGAGTTGGCAACTCAAAATGATACTCTACCAAAAAAGGAAAAAATTTCACTGGACTGCAGAAGCTTGGAATACAAGGCAACGTAGGAAAGATGGAGATAGCCAAATCTCAAGAAGATAATAGGGAAGCCAGGAAAAGAATGCTTGATAGGGTGTCCTGAAAAGGGAAAACAAACATAAATGGAAAACCAAAGTTCAAGCTAACCAACCCAAGCCATAAATGAAAACAACATAAAACCAATTCAATCAAGATACCAAAGGGTTTTGAGCTTAACAATATTAAAATTGTCCGCAATATTTAGGTGTCTAGTTTGAGACTTTTCTATGTTCATGTTAATCTTTTCCTCTCACTAGATGTACGTACATTCGTCATTTGAATAAAGAATGAAGAATTTACTCATTTTATCAGGAGATGAGCTAAGAGGGTTAATCCATTAATTTGGAATAAAAACTCACACAGTTAGTAGCAAAGAAGTTTTTGAGCTCCAAAGCCCAATATGGCAATATCATTAGCTACCTGTTCCATTGTGATTCACAACCAATTTTGTAAACTAATTTTACTTTTTCTTTCTCCATCAATACATTTGAATTTGCTTAGATGGATACACAATTTATTAAATGAAATTGTTGAACTTTATATGAAAAATGGAAGTCGCTAGAAAAAATATAGATTTTTCATTAATGTATATGCTTTGAATCTAGGTTTGTGGTTATCAATCCTAAATACTAGTGTTGAATGGACAATTTTAACAAACGAAATGAATGACCAATTTTCGTATGGAATGAAACAAAATTTTGAATGATTATTTTATAGAAAACATTAAAACTGGCATGTCCATAATTCCAATAAACAAAGTAGTTTTAGAATAGCACACATGTCATTGTTACAAAATCTTATAATATTTTTCATAAGAACAGTTTGCTTATGAAAACGTGGGGCAGAGAGTTTCTCTCTAGTTGGAGATCAACCTTTTCGACTGATAGGGCAAAAGCATATATGCCAATTTTCTATCTCGTAGTAAACCAGAAGTCCGGGTATCGTCTCTCAGGGACTGATACAACCTTATATTATATCAATTCTATGGAGCAAACTAGGTGAAAAATGTTTTAGTGAAGAAACTACTAGCTAACAATTAAACAAAACAAGCAAATTAAAGTTGTCGGGAAAAATCAATGGGAGAGAGCTCTGGGAGAAACACCGGGACTCGCTACCTATCATATCCAAATTAATTCACATATTCCAATCAATTTAATCCATACCTCTACAACCAGGATATCACTACTGTGCTAGCTATCCCTGTCGAGAATTACTACGTACTAAGCAATTAATTCAAATCCTACTGTCGTAGCTCAATGAGTTAATTATTTAGTCTGAAGACCGATATCCCAATCAAGACCGCATAGCACCTTATTTAATCCACTGTCGCTTCGATAAGTTACTATGTCACATGAAATATGTTCAGTTATTAGGGTTTCACTGTCGCTAATAACCTAATTAACTACAAATCGATGTATTGGTGGCCAGTCAACACAAAACATTAAGTAATTTCATGCAATAGAGATTGGAAGAAAAGAAATATGAATCAATCCATCAATTCTAGAGATAGCTACATCCTATGGTGTTTCCCCCAAAAATTGGGATTTAGTTCATGATGAAACTAAAACACGCAATCATGTTCATAATCATCATAGTACTAATAAAATATAAAAGGAGCAAAAATACTCGAGCGAAACGATTCGCCGGCACTAATTTGATTCATTTTCTATTTTAGGATAGACGACGACCGTTCACATAAAGCCAGAAGAATACTAACAGGTCCATAATACTATGTGACAATGGTAACATTAAGAAACATTTTGGTCCATTAAGTTATTTCTATGCCCCAATCTCAACCCCAAAAACTGATATGGTAACAAAGGACATGTTAAGCCACTAAAACTACAAAGGACATGTAGAATACGATTGAAAAATGAATTTGATTGTACGGTGGATACAATGCGAATAATTTAACCAAGCTAAATGTAAATGATTGGATTATTGTGGATGTCTGAACCGTCATTATATAAAAAAAAAATTGTTGGGTATTGAAATTACGTCGATATAACTTAGTGTAAAGTGTGAACTGAACAAGTTTTGCCGATTTTCACAACTCACAAGTCATACAAAGACATCAAAAGTGTGTACTGTGTAGACTGCAAGAGTAGCACCAGGGGCGGACCCAAGACACCCCTAAATTTTGAGAAAACGATTATCCAATCTTCGGTGGTAATTTATGTATGGACAAAAAAATATAATTGATAGTGAGGGACACCCCTTAAATTTGAAAAATGATTATCCTACTGTCATTTGTGTATAGAAATATAAGTGGTAGGTTGGATAATTCAAATCTAGAATACTATTATTATTAATAAACTTAATTTCTGTTGAGCTAAACTCATTTGTTGTTCGATTTTGAACAATGTGTAATAGTAAAATGGCATTCCCTATCTCTAATTATTTTAAAAACCTAACAATTAAACTAATTTCAAACTACCCTTAATTTGTATTGATTTTATGATTGTACGGCAAGTGTTGAAAAAGTTTTTCAGCTTTGGGTTATATCAAGAACAAGTTTACAAATCGAATATGCGATAAGTTCGTGAATGATTGTCTAGTAGTGTATATAGAGACAGTTTTTTTTGCACTATAAACACGAAATGTATTCTACAATTATTTTCGAATATGAAAACACATCATGGACTTTTTTAACCTGTACGAGTAAGGTATTTTCATATTTACAATTTTAATTTTATCAATTATTTTTATTAAATTTATTTTTTGAAAGAGGACACCCCTATGAAAAATTTCTGGGTCCGCCACTGAGTAGCACAATGTAGATAAACATACAAAACAATATTGTATCCATGTAACTTGGATCTAAAAAATCAAAGGGTAGCGTACATTATGTCTCTCTTCCTCTATGCAAGTATTTCAATTTCATTTCTGTTTTTTTGTAAAGGGCATATCACTGTTTGTCTCCCCCTTTCTAAGGTGAAGATGAATGAATGATCACTGTATCTTTACCACGTTTCTTTCATAATAATATGAACACAGTTTATAAAAAGTTTAGAGGAGTGAAATGTAAGAATATTGCTTTCACGGACTGAAATATTAGTGAAAGTGAAGTCGTAGGAGTGATATGGTGAGAACATTACCTGTAAAGTATAAGTACTATAGTGTATATTAATGTCGGCGAGTGCAGTGACACTGTGCAATCAAGACAGCGACGGCGGAACAGCCTCCTGCTGCCGCCCACGCGCCTTCTCCCACCGTCTGCTCGAGTTAGGTATCTGTACTTAACTCACTGACCAACTCAACCAGAGACCCAACGATTCCACTCGCCGCGACGATTCTCCTAACTTCACCCTCCCTTTCAAACTCGCTCCGCCCGCGCGTGGCTCTAGTTTCAACTGCAAAGGATTAGCGCCTCGTTTGGTTCATCTCTATTTCATTGGTAACCTACAAAACATGCCATAATCACTTTGTACTATTCAAGTAAACTCAACCCCAACATACAATCTTGTTGCTGAAGTGATTTATATGGAATTGAAATATATGACGGTATAAATGCAGGATTTGAAATTACCTCTGTTATTTTTTATTATATATATACTAAATATAATTAAAATTAATAATATTCATATATATATAATCTTGTATGTGTTGAATTCGATGCGTTCAAATTTTTAGGGGTTATTTTTTCCCCTCCATAAAAGTAAACTATGTACTAGGACAAGGGCAAATAGTCATGGCTCCGCCTATGTGGCAGGATAAAACATTTTGTCATGCTAGAATATAATCGTGATAACGATTCATTTATTGGTTGGAACTTGGAACCAACACTATCTGGGTAAGTGGGCGTAAAAAAAAATCAAAATATTTGAGCCGGTAATAAAAGCGAGGGTAAATAATGTATTACAAGTTGCCATATATATAAAAAACGAGTTCTCTTTATATAAAAAGTTGTTACAAGTTCTGGATGTATTTTCCACTCCAATGTTGAGGTTGATTGGGTGCATGTGATTCATTACCGATAAAGCAAACTATGATGCATTCATATAGTTTAATTTGGTGTTTTTACTTTGTTCATCGAAATAATCAAGTAACTTAATTAGCTGTTCATTCTAAAATCCAATTAAAACACTAATAATCGCATGTGAACTTGAGATTTTGAGTTAATTCCTCTTTGTTGTGCATGTATTGCACAATTGAAAAATAGTAATCGCATTTTATATGTCGTTATTTGTCTTTCAAAATGTTATTTTCTCTTAACTGATGCGTGTTTTTACTTTTTACGGAGTTTAAATTGATATCACCACTCATATATCCTATCTACCACATGTGCAATCCTCCAAGAGTTGTATGGCCTACCTATTTACATGCCCAACTCCTTCAACCACTTCATCAACCAAACAAACAATGCCTTACATTATGTGTCAATAATTAGCGGTCGCTATCGCCTACCTGGTTTCCAACGGCGTCGTAGCATTGCCACAATTACCATTAAACAGTAATAAACACTAAACAGAATCGTCCCCTTGCCCACTCCCACGAACAACAAATCTCTCCCTCAGCTAGTCGACAAAACATTAATCAGGCAAGAAGAATACATTCCCCCACATCGTCGGTTCCACTTTTATTAGATTTCTTGTTTTTATCTTTTTCATTTTTCTGGCTTTGCATTTCTCTTCTTAACTATCCCTCACTCGGAAGCTTGACAGAAAGGTTTCTCATTGGTAGTACTGCTCGCTCGTCTTGACCAAGAGAACGTCAGCCATTCCATTTCTCTCCGGCGGTGCTCTCCGTCGGCGGTTTACTGGTACGAATGCGTCCTTGTTGTTACTGTGTTTTGGTTCATTTTTTGGTTTCATTGAGTGGGGAAGTACTGGTGAGGCTTGCATTGCGTTGTCGAGGGGCGTTCTGTGAGTTTTTGGGTGACAAAGGTCAAGCTTTGTGGTTTGTTGGGAAGAATTTGTCGGTGCCGGTGGTTTTGGCTGGATCTGGCTGCAACCCTGCTTCGAAAATGTCTCAAAGCTATGAACTTCAGCTTTCCCCTTTTCCGGGTTTAATGGGCTAAAAATGGAATCTTTCCCTCTTTTCCCTCCTGAACGTCTTATGATTCTCGTGATTGATCACTACTCTGTAACATTGGTCGTTTTCCTGGATGTGAAGAAATTTATTGCTGCTTCACCCCTTTTGTAAGCATTTTGAAGTTTAGGCTTCTGTTGCTCGATTTGGTTGCTGTTTGAGAGTTTGAATTTGATCTTGGAAATGAGCTTTTGTTGTTTGGTTGCTGGGAAAATGTTGCGATAGCTAGAAAAGTACACTGCTTTTGTGTTGTTAATTGTTGTTTTCGGCAAATGAGGCAAGTGGTTGCTCCAAGCTTAGTTCTGTTCACCAACCTAACAATGAGAAATTGCAATTTTTCACCTTTAAGTTTAACTTTCCATTTTATCATTCCTCTTTGTTTTGGTGACTGATCTATTGCAGTAGCATTTGGGACCATACAATGGTTCACGTAAATGCGAAGAACAAGAAGAATGCTTCAGTCCAGTTGAACTACATAATCCACATTGAAGAGATCAAGCCATGGCCACCATCTCAATCTCTGAGGTCTCTCCGGTCTGTATTAATTCAGTGGGAACATGGTGACCACCATTCAGGCTCTACCAACGCTGTAGTCCCAACAATCGGGACAGTAGTTGGCGAGGGGAAGATTGAATTCAACGAGTCCTTTAGATTGCCAGTCACTTTGGTGAGGGACCTAAAAGCCAAGGATGGTGATGTGTTTAAGAAGAATCGGATAGAGTTCAACTTGTGTGAGCCTAGGAGGGAAAATAAGGCCCAGTTGCTTGCTACTGCTGTAGTAGACCTGGCAGATTATGGCGTTGTAAAAAATACAACTAGTGCTAGTGCTCTGATGAAGAGCACTCGGAGCTTTACTAACAGTTCCCAACCTGTTTTGTTCATTAAGATCCAGCCAGCTCGTAAAGGCCATCCTGGATCTAAAGTGCAGGATGGAGGCTTATCTAGAGGTGTATCACTTGATAGGAATGGTGGCAATTCGGTGTTGGGGTTGATGAATGAAGAATTTGCCGAGGAAGCTGAGCTTTCTACTGTCACTGATGATGATGATGTGTCATCTCACTCTTCCATGAACAACGGTGGACTTCCTGCTCATGAAAAGGTATGCATGTATAAATGGAGTATGTAACATGTGTATGTTTGCATCTTGTGGTAAGCTACAGTGATCTCATTTGGATTGCCAATTCAGTTAGTAGAGAACCAGCTTGTTTCAATGACTCGAGTTGTTAGGAGATTCCCAGAAATGGACCTTATATTATTACCTTACCATTCTCACTAATTCATGCTAACATCATGTGACATAGTACATATATTGTATTTAATGCAATGAGATGTTATCATGCTTTCATTTTTCAGGACCACATTTGGGGCACTGTTATTCCACGTCCCTAGGAATCACACATAGTAAATGGTTTGTGATATTAATGTATATACAGCAGAGATGCTGACAACTTGGCATTGAATTGCAGAATGAACCAAATGGAGTGACAAATAGTAATGGAGGGCTCATGCAAGAGCATGCAAATGCTTCAAAACTGAGGCTTGAAAACAATATTAATCCACAAGAAAATTTGAAGGGGAGTTCTTCTCGTTCATCATCTTCTGTAGATTTATCTTCTGATCCAGGCAGTCCAATAAACGGTCATGCTTCTGTGGTGAAGTCTCTTGATTCCACTTCAGTCTTAAATCCAAGGAATGAACAGAGCCTTCAATCCTCTTCGTCACACACTACGGATGTAATAGTAGAGGAGGCTGTTGAAAGCCGAAGCAGTGATGACCATGGAGGTTCAGCGTATGTGGATGCTGTAGAAATTGAAAGTCGAAGCAGTGAAGACATGAATGAGAGAGAATACCAGGGAAGTGAACAAAGCACTGAAACCATAGATGAAGGACTTCCCTTGACTGCAGACATTGGAATGAGAAGAAGCTTTATGAAACCAGATAGACTGAAGAATGTGAGATCAGTCAGGTCTGCATCAGATTCAGGTAGGAGTAATGGAGGTGTCAGCAGAAGTCATCCCGAAACTGAACAAGTTGATGTGCTGGGAGATGATCAGATTGGGAGCATGAGAGTTAGTGAAAGAAAAAGTGCCAAGATCTTTCCGAAGGACACCAGCACCACTGTGTTAGCTGCCAAAATGCAACAGTTGGAGCACAAGATCAAGGTGCTCGAAGGAGAGCTGAGAGAAGCTGCTGCCATTGAGGCTGCACTTTACTCTGTTGTTGCTGAGCATGGAAGCTCCATCAGTAAGGTGCATGCTCCGGCTAGGCGCCTATCAAGAATGTATCTTAATGCCTCTGGAGTCGCCAGGAGAGCCAGTGCAGCCCGAAGTGCGGTTTCAGGAATGGTTCTAGTGGCAAAGTCATGTGGCAACGATGTCCCCAGGTATGATAGTTAAAGCTCTATCAGATGCTATATGTGTAGCAAGGCATGCGATAGTTCTTTGATACCTTGGTTTTGGATCCTTTATTGCCCAATGCAGATTGACATTTTGGTTGTCAAACTCGGTTGTACTAAGAGCAATCATAAGCCAAGCAATGTATGAGTCAGCGGAAATGAATTGTGCTGAAAAGCGAAAAGAAGTGATATCATCATTGACTTCTAGCAGAAAGGGAAAGGGAAGAGCAATATCTGGCGATACTGAAGATTGGGAGGACCCTCACACTTTCATATCAGCACTTGAAAGAGTTGAAGCTTGGATCTTTTCCAGAACTGTAGAATCCATTTGGTGGCAGGTCTCGTTTCCTTCTGCTACTTTGTTAACATTGTTGCTTACTTTTTTCCAATATTACTTAATGTTGACTTTTTCCATGGCCCTGTGCGTTTCAGACTCTTACTCCACACATGCAATCTGCAGCCACCAAAGGGATTGACAAAGTTAGTGCTTCAGACTCCAACAAAAACCTTACTCGGTCCTCAAGTTCATGCGATCAAGCGCAGGGGAACTTTTCATTGGAGCTTTGGAAGAATGCATTCAAGGATGCCTGTGAAAGGCTTTGTCCAGTTCGAGCAGGAGGACATGATTGTGGTTGCTTGCCTGAGCTAGCAAGACAGGTGTATATAGAGAAAAAGCCCCTTGTCCAAGCTGTAAAGTTTGCTTAACATTTTGGAAGTTCTTAGGTGTTAATGCTTGTCTTTAAATAGGTGATGGAGCAATGTGTGTCTAGATTGGATGTGGCTATGTTCAATGCAATACTCCGCGAATCTGATGACGAAATCCCCACAGATCCAGTGTCTGATCCCATAAGCGATCCAAGGGTTCTCCCAATCGCGGCTGGGATATCAAGCTTTGGAGCTGGTGCACAACTGAAAAATGTGGTATGGAATCTGAAAGTGACGTTTTCATTTCGTTAGTTTCAGTTATATGAGTCTATGATGTTTGTGGCAGATTGGAAACTGGTCGAGATGGCTCACCGACCTATTTGGCTTGGACGATGATGATGTTGACCCTTGTGAGGACCACAACGATGACCCAGATGAGGATGATGATAGACAAGACACTTCCTTCAAGTCTTTCTATCTGCTTAATGCTCTTAGTGATCTTATGATGCTTCCAAAGGACTTGCTCTTAAGTAGAACCATAAGGAAAGAGGTTTGGCTGTTATCTCTCACCTTTCCATTCTATACCTGTTTTACACTCGACTATCTTTACTTACTTCTTTTGCTTTATGGTAAAGGTGTGTCCTACATTTGGGACACCATTAATCAAGAGGATTTTATATAGTTTCGTCTCGGATGAGTTCTACCCTGATCCTGTACCAAATATTGTCCTTGAAGCCTTAGAGTCCGAGGTAAGTTCCATTTACATTTGCTTCATTTTCACAATCCACCTCCCACAGTCTGTTCTTTAGTACCAGCTATTTGTTCTCGACAATCTACCCATTTCAATGATCCATCAGCTTAACAACCCCCCCCCCCCCCCCCCCCCCCCCCCCCCCCCCCCCCCCAAATACTGGCAATGGCCATCTTGTCTTATGTTTGAACTTGATGCAGGACAATGCCCCAGCAGAAGAGGGTTGTGTTACTACTGTGCCATGCATTGCAGCTCCTCCAATCTATCTACCATCTTCATCAGCTTCTGTTGCTGCCACAATTGGAGAGCTTGGAAACCAATCCCAGCTCAGGAGAAGTGGTTCGTCCGTGCTGAGAAAAGCATACACTAGCGACGATGAGCTCGACGAGCTGAAATCGCCTCTGGCTTCAATCTTCCCCGACCTGATGTCTTGTTCATCATCATCCCCTGCAGCCTGGAAACTGAAGGAGGGACAGAACCCGGTAAGGTACGACCTTCTGAGGGAGATATGGAAGAACAGTTAGTAGTCTGATCCTGTAAACAACAACATAGTAGTATATAAAGTACGGGCAAATCATGACTATTGTACAAATTTTGGTGGTTCGCCTTCTTCTTCACCTGTGTTTGTACAAATTGAGAGCCCATTGTACATTTACTGAAGTGCCATGGATAGCCATTGCAGTGTTTGAATAATGGGCTTAAGAGTTGCATATTGCTTCGCTCTGAGTTTCTGCTTAGCTGCTGTTGGTGAACCACTAAATAGATTTCAAAACCGAACCAATATGTCAACCCGAATTCCAAGGCATATCACCCAAACCCACTTTATGACCTTCATTTAGATCACAGTTCAGAGTCAGACTTCAGTGCAGTCCAGAAACCAAATATTGAGGCCAGCAAAAGGCATAGAACATATTCAAGTTAAAGACAAACCAGCCACAATTATTACAAACAACAGGAACAAAGGAAAAGCAGAAGGATGTTGTATTGATAGAAAGCATAACAATATGCTTGTTTTGATTTAATAATAACTTTTCCCGGATGCCAATTGTCCTTTTGGCCCAAACCCATTCAAAAGCCCTTACAAAAGCAACAATGCGAACTCCTCAAAATTGCATCTCCAGCTCACAAACTACATATCATATTATCATGGTAACAGAAACCCTACTGAATGGAACATAAAGCTTCAAAATTTCAGCTGGCAATTGTTAGTCTCTGCCAAAACAATACTCTCGCATCTCTCTGCGGTATACATATTTACTAGAATTGTCAGCCGGGCACCTCTAAACGTAGAGAAGCTACACATAGATCAAGCAGCAAGCTTCTTAGAAGATAGAACGGCATTTGCTTGCTTGAGATGCAAAGCAGCCAACAACCCTTGCCATGTTTCTCCTGGTCCACCAGGGACTTGGAAATCGAGAAGCTTCCTCTGCTCCCTGTAGTAATCTTCCACTGCCTTGCCCTGAAACACACAGGAAACAGAAGGAAGAGAGATTTCAAAACAAACACTCAGGAACTGGAGAAAGTCATTTAAAGTTTACGGAGCATTTAAAGTTTACCTCTTGTGCATACAAGCGGAACTTCTCCCCCCACGAACTCTCATCCGATCCACCCACAGACGGAGAATGTCCTAAGCCGACATAGTTTCTTCTCAACAGCTGTTGCTCTGCTGATTTGAAGTTTACCACTAGATCAATGTCAGCAATTTGATCAAGAATCTCCTGCAGAACATTGAGACGAGAAATTGGAACTCCGAATATGGAACATAAGCAAAGAGTCCAAGCATTGCAAGGAAACCCAAGCGATTGAGAGACTCACAGCTTGCATTCTAGTTTTGGGAATACCATCCAAAATGAATCCACTTTCACCTTTGGAGTATCCCTCTTCAAGCCTCTTCGACAACAACCCAAATATGACCTCCTCTGGCACTAGCTTCCCTTCATTCACAGCATTTGATATCTAAAATTGGCCAACAGAAATTTAAAATTCCATTCAGCAAGTTCTCAAATTGAACAAAACCCCTACTAAGCACACGCACACTTTATGACAAAGGAAACACCAATCTGGTCCAATTCACAGAATAATTCATCAGACATGGCAAGGGAGTCGCAGGACTCAAAGCAAGAAGGACATGTACCAGCTTGTAGAGAGCAGAGCGAGGGCTGAGCTCCTGGCGAAGGAGGGTGCCCATGGAAATGTGAGGAACTTCCAGGACCTGCGACAGTTTCTCCGCGTAGAGGCGTTTCTTCGCTCCGGGATCGCCGATCAACACCCACTGAACACCTCTCTCCCACGTTGAACCCGCCGCCGCCGCCCGCATGCCCCGTCGCGACGGAGAACCATCTTGTTCGGAGTAATTGCAGCATTCCTCCTCGTCGTCGGAGTACTGGTACTCCACAGCCGCCGCCGCTGATCCGTAGCAAGCTCGACTGCCGGTGAGGAACCCGAGGCGTCGGAGGGCCGACGATGGAGCTGCTGCTGCTGCTGCTGCCGCCGCGGATCCCAGTCGGCTCAGCCCGGCCATTTGTCTTTGGGGTGGCGGCGAGAGAAAGAGGAAACTCTCTCTGGAGGCGGAAAAAGAGGGTTTTTCGTGTGGCGAGGAAAGAGAGGTTTTAACAACCGAAGGAGAGGAGAGGAGAGGCCAGAGCTTGATCCGGAAATGCCACTAGGTTGGGAGTTTAATTACCGTTTCTGCCACAGTATTCGTGGGAGCGCCAAATGTCAGGAAACGGTTGTTTTGTATAAAAGTCAAATGCCCTTAGATTTGGGGAATCGAAAATGCTCTCTACTGACATTGGCGGATCAGCATCTCCGGCACCGGCACTACTCCCATCTGATCGTCCGCCGGATTCTCACAGCCCGCCGGCTGCTAAAGAATCTTCTTCCATAGCTTTTCACACGATTCAGGCTAGTAGTTCGTCGATTATGGCTATTGATTCTTCTCATTTGAATTTGCAGGAACAGGAGATTCATATGACGGCGACGGGGCCGTTATCGGGACAAACACCAGGGTCGGCCTCCGGGATGGCTCTGTCGTATGCTAAAGCAGCCATGGGGATGCCGCAATCGGCGGCTATCCCGAGTCAGGCGATCCAGTGGACACCGGTGGGTGAGCATGATCTTGTGACAGGAGATCGGAACGGGGAACCGGCCCTAACAATTTCAGCGGAGTTCAAAGCAAAGATTTGCGCACCATGGCAGAGGACACTCGTGATTCGTCTTCTTGGGTTGCGGATTGGATTTATTGCTTTGTGCAATCGCCTGAAGAGTCTTTGGCGGCCGGTTGGAGCTATGGAGGTTAAGGACCTGGATCATGATTGCTTCATTGTGAAATTGGATAACGAGCAGGACTACTTCCGAGCTCTGACCGATGGACCGTGGGTGATTTATGACCATTACTTGGTCGTGCAACAATGGACGCCAAAGTTCAAAGCTTCGGACCCACTTCCGAAGACCATGATCGTTTGGGTTCAGTTTCCGGCCCTGAAAATTCACTTCTACCATAAGGAGGTCCTAACTACGTTGGGCAATCTCATCGGTCGGACTATCAAACTGGATTATCATACTCTCACGCAGCAAAGAGCTAAGTTTGCTCGCATAGCAGTGGAAGTTGACATTTCGAGGCCTCTAGTTCCGAGAATCTGGCTAGACGATGAGTGGCAGAAGGTCGAGTACGAAAATCTGCCGGAGGTGTGCTTCAAGTGTGGGAAGATAGGGCATCGCTCCGGTTCTTGCCCGAGGAATGCTACCGGAGTCTCTTCGGCTCTGGTGGAGGCCGCCGGTGATCTGTCGGTGGCCAGCTCCTCGCCGCCGCCGGAGGAACCCAATCAGGGGTTCGGGCCGTGGATGCTGGTAACAAGGAAAGCACGGCGTAATTCAAGGGACATTAATCGGAAAGGAAAGTCGGAGCATGAGACAGGGACTCAGATTGCGACTTCAAACGGTAAAGCTGGAAATCCGGAATTGATATTTAGGGAAGGGAATCACTCCTTACCTTCCACGAACACTCCCAGCGGCGCCTCTCTGCAGCGGAGCCCAAGCCAAGAAAGGAAAGCGGCCATCGGGAAGAAGAGCGGGGAGGAGGCCAAGAAAGGGAAGGAAAAGATGGTTAAGGAGCCTGGGGGGAAAGGAAAAGGCCTGCTTGGGCCGGGGCCCAGTTCGGGTCCCCTTGAGACAGCTGGGCCGAAGCTTGTGCTTAAGGAGGGGACTCAGTCAAAGCCTCAGCAACAGACTATGTCAAGTGGATCTGGAAGTTCTAAGGGGCCTCAAGACCATCAGGAGTTTTCGGGCTCCCCTCCTCAGCCACCCTTATTTCATACTATAGTGGGCCCAAATGGAACTGTGATGAACATTGTGGAGAGCTCGCCAACAGAGAGTGGCGACCAAACATCAGGTTCCAACCCATCTTTATCGACAAGAACGAAGCAGAGTAAGAACAAGAAAGCGCATGGGAAGAAGAAGTCGCCCAGCAAGCTTAATCCGGCAAAACCCCTCCAAATTTGGTCACCGGTTAAAGAAAGAAAACCAAAATCTAAAGCTCGAATGGCGTCGTTGACACTACAAGAAATCCATGCCTGGACTGAGGCAGCAAAACTGCCGAAGAGGGATGAGAAGGCGACGGATGTCGTTGAGTCGGCCGGCCGTCCAAACCCAGCGAGCGGCCCGGACGAAGCGGTGGCCGCCAGCGAGTGATGGGGGGGTTCCCTCGAGGTCTGAGCCGCCTTTCTTCTCGGTCTCTCTTTCTGGATTTCTTTTCCCTATGTCAATGAATCACAGTCTTAAAGTGTTCGCGTGGAATGTGGGGGGAGCGGGAAGCCGTGCTTTCTGCCGGGCCTTGAAGCTAGCTATTCAGACGCATCGTCCGGACTTCGTGGTCCTGCTGGAGCCTCAATTGAGTGGTGAATCGGCCAACAAGGTGTGTGATAAATTGGGGTTCCCCAATTCTTTCCGAGTGGAAGCCGAAGGCCGGTCAGGTGGGGTGTGGGTCTTTTGGGATGGAGGTGTTTTCTCTGTGCATCCTTTCTCTGCTTGTTCACAGCACCTGTCTTTGCAAGTGAACAGGGGGAACGAACCTCCGTGGATGCTGACGGCGGTGTACGCCTCACCGCGGCAGAGGGACCAGCGGCTTCTGTGGGCAAGTCTGATCTCGTACAGCAGACTCATTGATATGCCTTGGTTGCTTACAGGGGATTTTAACGCCATCAGCAAACCTGAGGAGAAGTCAGGGCCTCCGGTGCGGAACACTTTGAAGAGATGTCAGCTGTTCACTGAAAGACTGCATTTGGCGGAGCTGGTCGATTTGGGATTCTCCGGGCCTAAATTTACTTGGTCAAGAGGCGATCAAAGCCACTCTTACAAAGCTAGCCGTTTGGACAGGAGCCTCTGTAATCTCCGGTGGAACATATCATACCCCAATTCGACGGTGCTTCATTTGCCGCGCTACCAATCAGATCATAACCCGATTATGACCTCGGTGGAAGTGCAGACGAGACAGCAGCATATCCCAAGACAGTTCAGATTCGAGGCGGCCTGGCTGACTAGTGACCGATTGCCGCAGGCAGTAGCAGATAGCTGGGATGCGAATGCCCCTCTTCATAGTGCTCTTAAGGTGCTGGCGGACAAGCTCTTGGAATGGAATGATGAGGTTTTTGGAGATGTTAATCGCAAGAAGCGTCGGTTGCTGGCCAGAATTAAAGGGGTTGAAGCTTCTTTAGCAGGAGGGTTCTCCCCCGGCCTCGCTAAGCTTCACTCAAAGTTATCCAGAGAGCTTGATATGG